GTTAACCGAAAAAAGTGTTTGCATCTATCAGCCCCCTGATTCCACAGCCTATGAATGAAGCAGGTGTCCCTGCCAAACCTCTTCTACAGTGGGTGAGCTCACTACAAATCTATATGCCTTGCATCTTAGAAAAGATTTCCACGTCCTTAAATACCTATGCCTGTTTTAAATGCTGTTAAAAAGAAAATGGAAGCATTTCAGTTCTAAGGGAGTAGACTTCCTGTTTCCCCCACAGATTCCTCTGCCTCAGAATAAACATTCCTAGCTCCTCAGGGCTTCCCTGCTGGCGCAGTGGTTAAGACACTGTGCTCCCAATGCAGGGGGCCCAGGTTTCATTCCTGGTCAGGGAACTAGATCCCATATGCCACAACTAAGGAACCTGTGTGCTGCAGTAAGACCCAGCATCTTGCTTATAAATAAATAAGTACTCTTAAAAAAATTCTTGGCTCTTCTATGTATAGGGCCTGTCATCATGAAACTTCCCAACTAGTGCCCAGGGAGTCTGAGTAAAGACTGAGTGTATATTCTGACTCTTTTACTGAATACCTGGGAGTCCCAGGGCAGGGTTTTTGCAGAGCAGATGACATCCACAGAGATAGATATGTCCCTTTCAGTGGTGGATACTCCTAGCAGAAATGGAACCTCCGTTGCCTTCCCTCCTTCCTCTAATCCTATAGGAATTACATTGTGGATGTTTTCTTCCCAGACCTTAAGGGGAAGGCCATATGGAAAACTCTCAGGTCTGTCAACGATCTTAAACAGATTGCCTAGTAGGACTAATTTCATGTTTACTATTTCACACCCACACTCTTTACCAGCATCACACAGAGTACCTATGACATCACCACACATATAAAGAAAAAAACCTGCAGTTTGGTGACTGTCACTAGCTTGCTATTATTGGAGGTGGGCAAATCACCTCATCCTTATACTCCAAAGTGAAGGTTATAGACTAAAGATCTTTTTCACCTCAGTCATTCTCTTTCACTCCCTAACTAAGCATTACTTGTGTGTATGAGTCCACGTGTGATTTTTCTGTGTGTACATATTGTTTTGTACATGGTCAGGTAAGCAGAAATATTTTGTTTGCAAGTTGGGTTTCCATCTGAGAACTGTCAATCCAATTAAATCTAATTTTTCTTTTAAAAAGTTGTTAATGAATCTAGGCAAAACAAAAATTCAATCACTTTTATGTAAAGATTACATTCTTTTTGTCTTCACAATTTAAACTGTGAATGTTCTTATTATGGGAGAAGCTGCCTGAGACTTGGGTCTGCATTTCAGTAAGGTAAGGGAAGAAATCAGTACATATGCCTTTCCAGAGCTCCAAAATCAGTTATGTTAGGGGACCTGCTAATGAAGGTGGTGGCAGGGGCACATACAGTCAATCAACAAGTTGTAATATAAGTAGATTTCATAGGTCTTATCTTGATAGGTCTCCCTGGCAGATAGGCCTCAAAAGCCTTTTGTCTGATTAGGCAACAGAGCAAAAGCTGACTGACAGCGCGCAGGAAACTGAGTTGAGATCTAGTAACTAGATCTCAATATCCTTTATAATTGGCCAAGAAAAGAGGAACTGCCTTTTTTGGAACTTCACTATGCTTAGCTCTTCTTGTTAATTCACACAGTAGTTCTAACAAGTGTATGTGTTTTATTATTTATAGGTTTCACAATTTCGTGTGTTCATGGCCCTGCATAACTGGCCATTGGGCTTAAAGTATCCAACCCTTTGGCCAAGTGGTACATATAGGGTCTCACTTCTCAGAATTAGTAGAGCTCGGATTCAAATCAAGGTCCTTTATCTGACCTTAACTTTTTGAAGAGGGCATGTGGCAGGCCGCAGGACAAGCAAAGATTTAGAAATTTACTCAACATGAAAAAAACTTGTCTTTATATTGAGGGAAAAGTTATCTTTATAGTGAGAGACTAACCTAGTCGTCTGAAAACACCCAAGAGGAAAAAGCACATTACCTAAAATTATTAGTTGTGATTAGTGGCAGTTACTGAATGATATGTAGATTAGCCAACAAAAATTTCTATGAAGAGATTTAGTGTAAGGTAAATATGCATAGAGGAAAGCTATGTACGAACCAATCAGGAAAAGCATAGAAGGTGTGCTCCGAATACAATTTCAAAGGTGGAGCATGGTTGCAGATTGGGCATGATATTGGGTGAGTCTCTTCTCAGGACGCTTGTGATAAGCGTGATGGGCAGTACCTGAGTGAACAGACAGGATGTGATCAGTAGGTGGGAGTAGAGTGCGTGAAAACCCCTGAACAATTGCCACCTTCAACAGAGGTGGGAACTATTCAGCTCTAGTTGATCCCTTGTGGTAATGGAGACTCAGTGCACCGACAACATCCCCCAATTTTTAAAGATAAGACAGGAATGCAAATCTTTATGTGAGCTCTCCCAATTTGAAGTGTTAATATTCCAAAACCCAGTATTAAAAGTAAAACCATATGCTGATCAAGAACAAGTTTTTGAGCCAGATGCACTCCCTGTGACTGCAGTGTATGAGTTTTAGTTCATATTATAGACACTTGAGTACAGATCCTTCTACCCAGTGTGGTTGTCGGTATCACAGAAGGGCTAAACTACACCTAATTCATTTTTACATCCTCATCTCTCATGAAAATGCTTTCCACAAAATATACATAAAAAAGAAACAACTTACTTCATGGTAAAAGATATTAATGCCTTTTAGGCAGAACAGGATTTCAGGCAGAATCCTATTAGCACTGCACTGAGTCCTATCCAGGTCACCATTATGTCCATGTTTACATAACGACATCAGTGGTAAAATAATTGCATTTCCACATGACAGAAATATAAAAAGGTAGTTTAAAAATTGTGGATTAATTTTCTTGGAGGGTTGTACAGTACCATTTGAGGACCTAATGCAGTTTTCTTTTTCTTAATTTTATTTATTTATTTGTTTGTTTGTTTGTTTATTGGCCGCATCAGGTCTTCGTTGCTGTACACGGGCTTTCTCTAGTTGCAGTGCGCCACTGCGCCATCAGGGAAGCCCCAGTTTTCTAACTAAGAGGTTAGACCAGGGATTTAATATCTCTTATCTGGAGGCCTTTCCTACCTTGATACACTTTCCCTGTCTGTACAATGTCCCACACCATCTTCTTAGCCTAGAATGCTCATTTATTCCCTAAAGTCCCTAAACTCTGCTTATCCTTTATGGGCCAGCTCAAATGGACATTTCTTTTGGAAGCCTTTCTTATCCCATGAGGCCAAGTAAGACCCTTCATCCTCAGTGCCCCCATAAAACCATCTTCACACAGTGTTATTACCTCTATCACATTGTAATAAAATTATAGGTCTACAATTATTTTACTCTGCTTCTCTGAGAACCAAGAGTATGTTTCATGCATCAAGTTACATACTATGACTGCCATAATTTCAGGAATACAGTGTCCTATCCACTGATGCTCATTTTACAAATTAAAAAATTTTTTTCCTGTTAACATCAAGAAATGAAATGTAAAAAAAAAAAAGAAATGAAATGTACTAGTAAGATAAATGACAACTCTAGGACAGACTGTTTTGTAGAAAATAGCACAGATTGCAAAGAACACAGGAATTCAAGCTCTAGCTTGGAATCCCTTACATGACACCAAATGTTCATTCTCTGGCAGATTTTACCGACTTTCTTCTGGGTGTTTTTAGGTCATGCTACTTCACAGGAAGTGAAGGCAAAAACCAGACCAGGGTCAAAACAAGAGAAAGTGAATTCAATGCATAGGAAGCAGGAAAAAAAAAAAAAGACAACAGCAATTACAAAAAATCATAGATTCGTCACAAACTAATTACTGATAGGCTTTTGAGCAGTGAGAAATTCAGAGCTCAAGTTTCCAGCACAGGGAAGTGAGGAGATAAAGAACATTTGGGTGAGAAGGAACCAGGGTGATTACTAAAATGAAAGGGGGGCCTGGGTTCCTCTGGTGCAAACAAGCCTCCTGGCTCTATTTGTTCTGAGTACCGGGCCTGCCTTCATGTACTTCAGTCTTTCAATGTGTTGCCCCCAAGTTGAGTTATAAAATCTACAGCCATTCTGGGACTTCCCTAGCAGCGCAGTGGTTAAGAATCCGCCTGCCAAGGCAGCGGACACGGGTTCGAGCCCAGGTCCGGGAAGATCCCACTTGCTGCGGAGCAACTCAGCCCATGTGCCACAACTACTGAGCCTGAGCTCTAGAGCCCGTGAGCCACAACTCTTGAGCCCTTGTGCCGCAGCTACTGAAGCCCACGTGCCTAGAGCCCATGCTCCGCAACAAAAGAAGCCACCGCAATGAGAAGCCCGTGCACTGCAACGAAGAGTAGCCCCCACTCGCTGCAACTAGAGAAAGCCCGCACGCAGCAACAATGACCAACGCAGCCAAATAAATAAATAAAAATAAAAAATCTATGGCCATTCTGCAGCCAGTGATATTTTTCATTTAAGAAATCCAGACCCAGTGGCAGAGCTCTGTCCTGCACGGGATGCCTGGAATTAGATTTGTTACAACAGAAGCAGCAGTGGTTCATCCCTGGGTATGCACTGATCAGCAAATGATAAAACAAAGGGCTCATTGCATAAGTGGACCATGTCCTAATCTGTGCGTTTCTTCATGTCCTTGATTCAGAACCCTCCTTGTTCTGCTCGCCACACCCACAGGGGCTGCTCTATATGTCCAGTCCCAAGAACTGGCGGGATACCAGCTGCCCCTGAGCGCCAGGCCCACCAGCTGGATCTGTTCTCACAGGAGCCACAGCAGAGATACTGGGTAAGACAATGAGCCCCAGAGCTGGAACAGGGGAGACAGCAATGAAGCAGCAACTGGGGGAGCGGTGAGCTGAAGTTAGTGCCCAGGACACATGACAGACTTTGGGGAGCGGAGGGGAAAGGAGCTAGAACCACAGTGACAGCAGGGGGCCTGCAGGGTGAGTGAGGAGGGAGTGTGTTATTTGTGGGCCGGGATACAGAAGATACCCTTCTTTTCACAGGAAACATGGTTCCCAGACAGCAGAATGCCCAGCTTCCTCTCTTTTTGCTGCTGCTGCTCTTGGGAATGGTGATCTCACTCCATGCCCCATCTGGTAGTTTAACCAGGGCTCGGTGGTTTCAGATTCAGCACCTAAATATGACCCACCGTCGATGCGATGATGCAATGCGGGTGGTTAACCGTTACACAAGGGTATGCAAAGGTGAAAATACTTTTCTCCACACAACGTTTGCTCAAGTAGCTCGTGTTTGTACCACCAGAAATGTACCCTGCCCTAGATCAAACAGGACAAATTGTCATACAAGCTCAGTTCCAGTGCCTATAACCTACTGCAACATCACAAGAAGAACAGCACATTATAGAAACTGCCGTTATCAACAGACAAACACACGGAAGATCTTCATCGTTGCGTGTGCAAACAGATCACCAACGGACAGTCCCAGGTACCCCGTGGTTCCAGTTCACTTGGATGACATCATCTAAACTCTGCGCCAAAACTTTGGGCCATGCTCATTTGCCAAGCGCCACAGTCCTGTCCCACCATCCACCCCAGATATCAGCATCCGTCCTCATCTCACCCGCCTCCAGGTCCCTTTAAGCTTTGCTCAGCTGAAGCTCCTTGTGCACGCACAGTAAACTTTACAGAATTACCTACAAGGCTCCATGTGTCTGTTTGTGCTCTTCTGTCATGTAGTTACATTCTGGTCTAGAGGCTTTTCCCCTTCTTCTAATCTGAAATTTGTGGGAAATAGATGTGAGGATAAGAGGCTCCTTGTGTCATGAAGTTGTGCAGACTTTTCCTTCTCTCTGCTTTAGGCCAGGAAGCTGAGGCTTCCACTCACAGCTGCCCATTTCATTACCAGGAGGCAAAGAGCCCCCAGTAAGTAGAAACAAATGTATTTGATTCCGATTTAAGAACCATACATTTTATGATAGAAGAGAACGATACGGTGTAAAAACAAAAAGAAAGGGGAAAATGCCATAATTGTGATAAGACCAAAAGAAAAAAGCAAATTTTAGCCCCAGAGATTTGTTTTTAAATAAGTGTATCAAATCTTCAGATATTAATGGTTATCCTAGGGGGTGGATCCAGAGTTTGAGTCTAATGTGGAATGAGACAAATTGTTCAGGTAGTATATGGCCAGATTCCAGTACTACCTGGAGAAGAGGTGAAACTCTTTCCTGGCGATTTCTGTGTCCTGGAGAAGGGAGCAGCTGGTCATCTGGTAGCAGAAGGTAAGAAAGGAGACATGGAGTTGGGATCTCTCCCGAGGATGAATCAGTGGCTTGTTCACATTCAGGTCAGGAAGGGGCACAGGTTCCAGGATTACAGAAATGTAGACAGACAGAAAAGGGGGCGGATAGTGAAAGCCTCTACTCTGCCTCCATCACAAGGCTGCACTCAAGAATCAGTGAGGAACAGGAAGGGAAAGCTCTTTGCAAACTGTGGTCTGATGCAGCACTCAAGTGATTGTTCGGGGGACAGGTCGGGTCTTTTGCAGCACCTGACTCAGAACAGAACGCAGGTAGCATGTCATTAAATCTGTACCTCTGTCCTTGAGTCTGGGATTCCTGACCTCCTAGTTTTCAGCTCCTCTTCCAGGCCCAGATACATGGCAATTTCCATTCCTCCCACCCTCCATATGGTCAGTCATTCTTGCTCTTGGTAGTACTATATACGGCATCTGCACTTGAGCATCTTCTCTGGAGAAGCCACTGGAGGATTTGTTCTTCCAGGCAGGTCTGTTGACTCAAGATATTGCATGGAGATACTAGGTTTGGAAAATTCCAGGGCTCAACAGAATCCACTGACTTTATTTTTATTATTATTATTATTGTTATTATTTAAAGCCAAGGGTTTTTATTTATTTATTTATTTTTAAGATGTTGGGGGTAGGAGTTTATTAATTAATTTATTTATTTTTGCTGTGTTGGGTCTCCGTTTCTGCGCGAGGGCCTTCTCCAGTTGCGGCAAGCGGGGGCCACTCTTCATCGCGGCGCGCGGGCCTCTCACTATCGCGGCCTCT